GAAGGGTTACTTTAGTAACCTCGAACGTTCTTATATTTTCAGTTTGCCAAAACTAGCTTTGAACTTGTTTGATTTGCCATTGTTCTGTGGTTGGTGTGTCTGACTGACTGTGCATGTGCTTGTGTGTGAACACCCGCTGATTGGCAAATGATGGAAATGTACTCAATCTAAGTCAATCATCACATTTTCAAGCCCCGTTACCACTAATGCGTTTTAGAACGAAAACGATCCAAGTCCACAATAGCGTTTCATCTAGTGCAGGGGTGACCAGCCTCGGTCCTGGAGGGCCAGTGTCCTGCATATTTTAGCTACAACCACAATTAAACACAACTGAACGAGCTAATCAAGCTCTATCTAGGTATACCAGAAACTTCCAGGCAGGTGTGTTGAGGCAAATTGGAGCTAAACTCTGCAGGACACCGCCCCTCCAGGACCGAGTTTGGGCACCACTGATGTAGCGTATCTAAAAAGCTCTCTGTTCACACTACTCCACTGAATATGCACATCATGTGACCATACACACACTCTGGCATGCGCCGAAAGTTGCTTCAGCCTATTCTCACGTCTGAGCTTCAGGCAGTCAGCGAGAGCTCTGAGCACATTTGCCTGGCTGAGAGCAGCCGAACGTCGGCCAGTCCATCCCGAATCTGCTGTGTAGTTGTTAGACATGATCGATAGTTTGTCTTGTGTAGACCTATATCTAACGAGTCTGTCTTTTGAATCTAATAGCCAACTTGTTCTTAGGTAACGTGTTTTGGCTGAGCGCAAAGATAAGTTTAAGGCTGATTTATACTTCTGTGTTGAGTGATCAGCGTGACCCACGGCGCCTACATTGCATGTAGCCATGCATTTATACTTCTGCGCACTGTTTGTGTTGCTCTTCAGTAACATTTCAGAAATGCTAGCTGGCAGCAAGGTTTTTATGTTGCTTTGTTTCTAATTTCTTTGCGGGTGTTTTGTTTTTTCTGAACACTGTCTTAATGTACAAGTAGCTAAAACTTGAGTTGGGATCCGGCGGACGTGCAACAACTTTAATCATCTGGACCGCCTTTATGGGACTCGACACTTTTAAACACTCGCTCCATCTGGCTCATGGCTCTCAGCAGCACCCACACTCATTACAGTTAATTTTTTAGAGGTGCGCGTTAGTGTCAGTGTCAGCCATGGTGAGGGCTATGTGACTGCGTATAAAATGTTCGTTCATTTTCTTTTAGGCTTTGTCCCTTTATTTATCTGGGGTTGCCGCAGCGGAATAAACTGCCAACTTATCCAGCATATGTTTTTATGCAGCGGATGTCCTTCCAGCTGCAACCCATCACTGGGAAACATCCATACACATCCATACACTCATTCACACACATACATACATACGGACAATTTAGCCTATCCAATTCACCTATACCACATGCTTTTTGGACTTGTAGGGGAAACCAGAGCACCTGGAAGAACCGCACACGGGGAGAACATGCAAACTTCACACAGAAATGCCAACTGACCCAGCCAAGGCTCGAACCAATAACTTTCTTGCTTTTAGGCGAACTTGCTACCCACTGAGCCATTGTGCAGCCCAAGTATAAATCAGCCATGTATTAATTTATGTAACCGCATGCTTCCCTTTATTTATGATATTGTATAAATTTATTGTACTTTATACTTGTTGATTATTAAAATTATAGCTTACTGAGTATAATCAGCAGAAGAGACGGCTATTTCGTACTTCATAATGCATTTCCTCTGATAATCTTTATCGTGTGCAACATCCACTTTTTTGAAAACTAGAGGGTGTGTTAGTTTGTTCTTGATCTGCTTCAGTGTATTAGGGCCCTATCTTACACCTGGCACAATGTGGCGCAAGGCGCGGCGCAATACTCTACTGCTACTTTTAGCTCGGCGCAAGGGTCATTTTGAGGTGTTGTGCCATGCTGTTTAAATAGCAAATGCATTTGCATTCAAATGTGTGCCCATAGGCGTTCTGGTCTAAAAAAGCAGGCGTGTTTTGGTGCGTTGCTATTTTGAGAAACTGTAAATAGTCTGATCTTTAGACCAGAACAAAGTCGGTCTATTGTCTGGCGCAAAGTGCGCCTGGCTTACACACTACAAACAAGATGCAGAGCAATACGCAAATATCTTTACATATGAAAAATATATAATATCTTAAGGATATATATATATATATATATATATATATATATATATATATATATATATATATATATATATATATATATATTATTGTTCATTTATTCATTTGCTAGAAATTAGAACTGAATTTAGAAATAGTTTTTAAACAAATCTTTGCGCTTAACAAACAAAATTAATTATTTATAGGCTAATTGATGTCTGTGCGTAAAGGTTTCCCTATCCACGAGAGCAAAAGCGAAAGTGAACTTACTTTACGTCAAAATGTGCATATAGCGCGACGCAGCTGGCTCTTAAAGGGAATGGGAGATGAGGCTCTAATTGGTTTATTCTCAAAACACACCTATAACTCATTAGGAAAATAAACAACCCTTTTAGACCATGCGCCATGGCGCAAAGTGAATTTTCCCATCCTTAAATTAGCAAAAATGCGTTCTGACATGCCATGAAATCGTTTGTGCCCTGCGTTTTGCGCTCTGCGCATAGACCGTCAAAATAGAGCCTTTAAAGTGTGGTTCACCTGGAAATTCAGATATGAAAATGACTCATTAAAGCTTTTGTAAACTCACATGGTTCTGTTTATTGTTCTGTTTATCAAGGTGTTTTAATTATTGAAAGATGTAATGTAACACGAAGCACTGTGTGTTCTTTTACATGCTAGCAGCTTGCTTACAGTAAATGATTGTCACGAGCTTCATCTCTACAAGTGTTTGAGTGCTTTTGAAAGTGCAACATGTGCCAAACTGTTCACATCTGTAGTGAGAATTTAAATCTGTTTATAAATTGTTTGTCAACAAAAGCTTTTCAAAAGAGAATTTGGTCTGTCTTTTAAAGGCAAATAAAAAACTACAACAAAAACAACAACAGCCAAAAATATTAGTTTTGTATTTGTACCGCTGGGATGTCAAGTTAAAAATAAATAAATGAATATATAATGATTATTCAATATTTTACTGTTTCAGAGGATTATGGTGATATGCAATTTTATTTAGGATTTTTTATTGATTTGCTAAATTTGATAAATGGATAGTAATAATAAGAATAATAATAAAGTTTTTGATTATTTTTATATTAATAGTGATATTCATTTATTTAGGGATTTTCATTGTAACAACATAAACATTAAATAATTATGATTATTCATTCATTTATTTTCTTTTCGGCTTAGTCCCTTTATTAATCTACGGTCATCACAGCAGAATGAACTGCCAGCTTATCCAGCACATGTTTTACGCAGCAGATACCCTTTCAGCTGTAACCCATCACTGGGAAACACCCATACACTTCCATTCACACACATACACTAAGGACAATTTAGCCTACCCAATTTACCTAAAGAATCGGAGCACCCAGAGGAAACCCACACAAACACGAGAAGAGCATGCAAACTCCACAAAGAAATGCCAACTGACCCAGCTGAGGCTTGAACCAGCAACCTTCTTGCTGTGAGCCGAGAGCGCTACCCTCTGTACCACTGTGCTGCCCCGTTATTATTATTTAATTTATTAATTTTAATTATTGTTATCATTATAAAGTGACTATCTGAAAACAAAATGAATGAATGTTATTAATAATAATATTATTATATTAATAATAATAATATTAAATAATAATATTAAATAATAATAATATAAAAAAATTTATGTATAATAGTATTTGTATTTTTTCCCAGAGATGGGTTGCGGCTGGAAGGGCATCCGCTGCGTAAAAACTTGTTGGATAAGTTGTTGGTTCATTCCACTGTGGCGACCCCGGATTAATAAAGGGACTAAGCAGACAAGAAAATGAATAAATGAATGAGTGTTTGTATTTACTTTATGACATGCTTTATTGGTTTATTAAATTTTAGTTATTTGATTTATTATTATTAATAATAAATAATAATAAATTAAATAACAACAACCACAATAATAATAATAATAATAATATGGCGACATGGTGGCGCAGTAGGTAGTGTTGTCGCCTCACAGCAAGAAGGTCCCTGGTTCGAGCCTCAGCTGGATCCGTTGGCATTTCTGTTTGAAGTTTGCATGTTCTCACCTCTTTGCGTGGGTTTTCTCAGGATACTCTGGTTTCCCCCACAGTCCAAAGACATGTGTTACAGGTGAATTAGGTAAGCTAAAATTGTCCATAGTGTATGTGTGTGAATGGGAATGTGCGGGTGTTTTCCAGTGATGGGTTGCAGCTGGAAGGGCATCCGTTGTGTAAAAACATGTGCTGGATAAGTTGGCGGTTCATTCCGCTGTGGCGACCCCGGATTAGAAAAGAGACTAAGTCGAAAAGAAAATGTATGAATAATAATAATAATAGTGTTTTTTTATTTTATTTTTCATGGTTATTGTTATTATTTAATTTATTATTGTTTAAAATTGTAGGTATATCAGTATCTGTATGTACTTTGACATGCTTTGTTGATTTATTAAACTTGTATCATTTGATTTATTATTATTAACAACAACAACAACTATAATAATAATAATAATGTGACACAATAACAACTTTAAAATACTTGACAGTTAAATATAACCGTAATATATAAATGTTTAATATAGTCATATTATAACAAAATTTTTTATATATAATCATTACAATTGCATTTAGATGTATTTTTTATATTATATATAATTTTTATAATTTATATTAATGCATGCGCATAAAGATTCTTTGGTGTAATAAAATGTTTCCGCTAAATTTCAGTTTGCATGTCAAGGTATTCATTTTATACCCTGACTGACTGACATTTAAATATACATTATTTTCATTGCAATATTTGTATTATACCTGGCTGAATAATGAAAAAGTATATTCTTAAAACAGCATGGTTGACTGAAAGCTTAGTCTTTTTTTTATCATCACTTTAGGACTGCAAGTGATTGCTATGTCAGAGAGAAATTCAGCCACCAAGAACCCAGCAGACGGAGGTTTTACGGTAAGCCGAAGATTTAAAATTCATAAAACATCATGCTTAAATTTAATACTGCCTTTGACTAAAAAGTCACTCATGACTTATCCTTCACTGTATTTTCTTTGAAAACAAGATTTCAGACTTCAGATTTCAGTTTGTAGTATATACATGAAACTTTTCAAAAAATCTGTTTTTTTTTTTTTCATCACACACTCAGGATCACGATTCAAAGATGTCAGATGAGCACCGAGACACGGATGATTCGTCTGAGAAAACACCCAGTAGGATGTCCAGATCACCACAGAAATCCAAAAGACCAAAGACGGTGCCTGTGAAAGTCCTGCTGCTGGACGGCTCGGCCTACGAGAGCGGCGTTGAGGTAAAGCAGATGCTTCTGTACTAAAATATCAAATCAGCTGTTATGTTAGCTGTAATGTTCATTAATTCCAGTTTTTGCTTTGTACAAATACAACATTTTAATGTCACCATCAGTGTCGTAATAGTGAACTAAGGACTATACTGTTTTTAGCAGCGCCCCAATTTGTGCACATGACATACTAATTCATGAACTCTGGAGCCATTGAGCTGATTGAGACGCACCCAATGTTTTAAAATGTACTGGCAGTGTGGTAAATCAAGCTAGAAACATACTAGCAGTGTGCTACAAAATGGTAGCAGTAAAGTAAAACACAATTGTTTATTGCATAATTATATTTTATATGTAGACATACAGTACACAGCATAAATTAGTATACCTCCTGTTGAAATTCAACATTTTTATCAATTTTTAGATAAAATTTTTTTTTTTTTTAAAGATTATACTTTTTTTTTTTCATAAAAATGTATATTCATTCAAATAAGATTTTGCCCACTTAATTTAATAATAGAACACTATATTTTAATTCAAATGATTTATTTGACAAAAAACAAAAAGACTAACAAATTTTAGGTGTACTCATTTTTGGATCGTGATCATAACGTCACCTTAGAATTATAAGGTTCTATTTGACATTTTTGTCAAAACCTTTGACAAAAAAGTGATTGACATATTCTTATTAAATGACAACTTATTTACATTATGGGATGATTTATATAATAATTTATATAAGCTGTTTACATTTTAAGACTTTTATTAAAAAACAAATGTTACACACATACTGTTTCGTAGAAAATGCAAAAACTTTAAAGCTCAATATCTCAAAATTATTCAGAACGCAGATAGAACCTTACAATCGGTTATTTTGTTAAATTACTTCCATTTTTGTCTTTTGTACTCAGTAATCTAATGTATATGCATACACATATTAAATAATATAGGCTCTATTTTAATAATCTAGGCGTAAAGTCTAAGGCGCATTGTGGAAAAGCATTAAGGGCATGTCCGAGTCCACTTTTGCTATTTTAAAGGTTGGAAAATTATGGGTCTCTAATGAGTTATGTGTGTGTTTTGAGCATAATATACATTAAATCAATCAGAGTCTCATCTCCCATTCCCTTTAGGAGTCAGTTGCGTCACGCCATGACACATTTGCTATTTACATGACAGACTTTGTAAGAGGAAAAACTGAACTGAATTGTTTCACTAGTAAGGAAACAGTTAAACAAACAATCTGCAGCGAGGATTCAGAGCGAGCCTCCTCCATTCGCCCTCTTTCTCTTTACTTTACTTTTACTCTTTACTTTACTCCTTTACTTTAGTGGATAAGGACACAGTGTTGTACGCACTCCACTGAAGACATCCATTAGCCTACATAATTAATTTTGTTTGTTAAGTTCCTAGATTTGTTTCAAAACTTTTTCTAAATTCAGTTCTTATTTCCAGTAGTGATGGGAGGTTCGGATCATTTCACTGACTCGGATCTTTGAGTCTCGTTCATCGAGATGAACAAATCTTTTTTTCGAGTAATTTCGTTCATTTGGTTCAATTTGCCAAAATATTATTAAAATGTTACGAATTGCTTCCAAACACATCTACAACAAGAACAAAAGGTTGATCTCACTACAAATAAGTCATAAATAGAATACTATAGGAAGGAGAAAATAATAATTTAATGTTTACCTGCTCTTTTGTCTATGAAGGTATTTTTGTCTCTTTGCTCAGCTCACCTCTTCATGTCTTCAAATGTCAGTGGTTCGTTCACATTACACTAACAATCACATATAATCTTAACTAATGTACACAGTCTGAGCTGATAGGAGCCATGATGATTAGTTCACCTTTTGAGTCTTCTGGTTCTTGAGTCGTTCGTTTATCACGTGACAGAATGACTCAAACCCAAGGACTCGAGAGATGAACGGATCAATTCTCTTTCCGGATCTGAACGCATATTGGCCCGTGGTGAACGAAGGACTCAGACCCGATAGAGGATTCAAGAGATGAACGGATCAATTCTCTTTCCGGCTCTAAACGCATATGATTGGCCCGTGGTGAACGAACGATTCAGACCCGATAGAGGACTCGAAAAATGAACTGATCTTTTCTCGCACTACACAACGTGCACATGAGGAATGAATGAATCACTTATAGTAGTTTGTTCGAGTAATTTGTTCTTTTGTCACATAATGTGAAAGAAAGCATTAGAGATGAGTTGTTTAATAAATCAAAATGTCTTTGTGAAGCGTTTTATAACATATGATGCTGCAGGCATTAGAAACTTAAACACTGTTTAATTGTTGCTTATTGTTTTATTATTATAATTTTTATTTTATTTTATTTTTTTACCAGAAAAGCTTTATAACAAAACAGATTACTTTAAAATCACATTTATAAAAACAATCAAAAGAAAAACAAAATAGTGCACATCAAGCCATTCTTTTTAACAAATGAAAACAAGTAAGCTTTAAATTAAATACCACGTTTGTGCCATAAAAGCTTTATATCAAATAGGGCAAATATTCCCATTAGATTTTTTTATGAAACAGCAGTTTAAATGAATTTTTTTTTAAAATAAAAAATACAAACGACACAGAGCCTAATGAGCTTAACAAATCGACTTTAGAATATTAACATTTTTTTAAAAATAATTAGAATTAAATAATCTTTAAAACAACACTGTGTGGCTTTACTTGTTTGACTTGGCTTAAGGTTTGTTAGCATTCAAAAACACAAGCTCTGTTTCTTCTTTTTGATGATTTGAAGCTCTTCTTTTGTCATTACTTGTTGGTCGCAGGATAAAATCTTCTGCTAAATGAATAAATGCTAATGCAACCTTTTTTTATACACATTTTAGAAAATTAGTTCTCTTATAACAAAGCAGTAAATAGAGAAACAATATGTTTTAAAGCATGGTTCCATTTATTTGTAAAATAACAAAAAAATAAAACCACATATCCAGCAGTAAAAAAGTAACAACAACTTAGTGACAATAGGACAGACCTTTTATATTTCTAAGAAAATGCTTGTTAGGTACACATTGTTTGATGATTTTTTGAAAAGTCTAAAATATGATCCATAATGCAACAAAAATGCAGTTTTGCATAAATAATACTAACTGAGGTTCTCCATGGAGCTACAGTTTAAGATCAGAAATGCACAGGATAATAATAAAATAATAATATTATCAGTAATAATAGTATTACAATAATTAGTTATTATGATGCACCCGTCTTTAAAGAAGATTTAGAACCATTTACTTATTTCTACATCCAATTCTGCTTTAGTGTCAAGTCAAGTAAGAAAGAAAAATGACTCAAACCCGATAGAGGACTTGAGAGATGAACGGATCAATTCTCTTTCTGGCTCTAAACGCATATGATTGGCTTGCCTATGAACGACCTATGACTAATTTCCAGCCACGAATAATAAATAACCAAACAAACATCCTATTCTTATGCCACATATAGTGATGCATAAGTCTCCAACACCCGACAGGTGGACAAATCTAACCTTGCTTTTATTAAAACAAATATAAATATGCTTGTAATAAATAATACTTTAAATACAAATGCAAATTTTCATAAATAATATGAAAAAAAAAACTGAGATAAGACATAGAGGTAATGGTTTTATTATTTATGTAGAAAATAATAATTTTTGTAACATTTTAAACCCTATTTCTTTTTCCTATATGTAAAGATATTTGTGTATTGCTGTACATCCTGTATGTATTAAGTAGGGGTGTGTACAGTACCTGATAACCGGTTATGATAATTACTGAACCGATATTGAATTGTCCTCATCTGCATCGCGGTGCACCGAAGAAACAACTTTGACACCCCTAGTAATAAGCAATGTGTAAGTGTTTGGACCGGCAAAGCTGCATAACTAAAGTGGTCTGCACTGGACTTTAGACCAGCTTTTAGTTGGTTAATGGCGTGGTCTATTTCAGTTCATCAAAATAGCAATGTGCCAACAATGCGCCTTAACACACCCCCTTTTTAGACCAGCACACCCATGGAACCACAAAGTGCATTTGCTATATTAACAACGTGGCACAAAACATATAAATTAGGGTTGCGCTGGTCTGAAAATAGCAACAAATCGTGCCAAACATGTCTTGCGCCTTATTGTGCCAGGTGTATGATATATCAAATAAATTAAGTTATTTAAAAAACATAAATTCTACAGTTCTTTTTCAAAACACTTTTTTTTTGATTGTGCATTTAGAAGTAATCTACATTGACTGCAGGAATAACAACTCAGTAAAAATTTAGTTGATCATACTTAATCATCATTATTCATTTGCATTAAAAGGAGATGGTGTAATGATTTATAGTTTATTGAGAGCAATTTCACTTGTGTTATGACAATTTTCAGTTTTTTTAGTTTTGAACTGATTTATTTAAAGGGTTTGAAAGAGCTAATGCGCGCAGGGAAGATAATTAAATTCCCAGCCCTATCTGCATTTTGGTTATGAAGATGCAAATTAATGGTGTGGTTAATGAAAATATCTCAGATTTAGCTATTTCAAGAAAATAGCAAGTCACTGCTTTTAAAGACTTTTAAAGGGCACCTATTTCACCCCTTTTACAAGACGTAAGATAAGTCTTTGGTGTTTCCAGAATTTGTCTGTAAAGTTTCAGCTCAAAATACCCATCAGATATTTTATTATAGCCTCCAGAATCAGCCAATTTTGGTGTCTGAATACAGTGTAGCTGTTTTTGTGGCTAGTGGCTTTAAATGCAAATTAGCTGCTTCTCCCCGTCCACTGTTCTTACGTTAGTGTCTGCTTCTCATGCGTTACAGTAGATAAACAGCAGTCAGTGATAAAGACAGACTTGGATGAAGCTGCAATACAGCTCATTTGTCAAAAATACCAAGTAAGTTTATTTGATGTAATTGTGGTGGAAACGATGAGTCACACACACGCATGCCGTTTGCAGTACACACAAACATACATATGCGCATTTACTGACACCATGCAGCCGTGATGGTTATAT